GCCCTTGGCCTTCGCCTTTGCCTCGGGTTTTCCTCAGGCGCCACCGTCCCTGGAACGACTGGAGGCGAGGATGGCAGGGCAACGGCTGGGGTCGATGTCGTTGGGACAGGATCGGGGACCGTCCTGACAGTGATGCAGTCTTTGACTATTTCGACTGGATAGTTCCAGAAGGGCCCTGGTGGGGAACTCATAGTTCTTCTTGTAAAAAAAAAGATGAAAAAAGAGTAGAAATTTGAAATGAATAACAACCCGGACAGGGAAGGGCAAGGTAAAGTCTTAGTGGGCTGATGGCTGGCTCTCAGGAGGCCACAGAAACCGTCAAGGATGCTGCTGGAAAGTGGAATGGTGAAGCCAAATATGAACAAGATTTGAGTACAACAGTACTCGTGATAGTCAATAGAGTAAGAGTGATGAAGAGGAGTAATAGCATTTTTTTGTTCTCAATGTTGGAGATGGCGAGTGGTTTATATACATATACATACCAGTGGCCACATAAAGGACATAATAGTCAGGAACCCGAGACGTCATTCACCCCCAAAGTCGAGGAACAGTCTGGCTATTCTCGCAGTGGTACGCTTCGTGCGGTGTGCCAGCTCAGTAGTGATGCTTGACTTGTACATCATCATCCGATTTCGTTTCGCGATATATGCGAGGCACCTCTGGAAGATCACAACCCATAATTCAGCCGTGGCGCTTAAATCAACCCTCGGGCCTCCATCGTGACATGTTTCCTGGCCCAATCTGCCACATAAACGGCGGATTATGCACGCCTCACGTATGTCCATCATATTCGTTTCATGGGGTCCGACCAAGAGCAAGCCTCAAAGTCCAGCGAATCAACTGCTTCAACTCAGTCAAGACAGTCCTGCTCCTGCTTTGTGATCGCCCTCGTGCCTTATCCATTGGCTATTGGGCACGAACGAGAGAGAAGTGTGTATAAGTCGTGACCCGAAATGAGAGCTTGCTGTACGCCGCATAAAGTAGACACAATGGCGGATATGATTCTCACGCATAAATGCAAGCTATCGGAAACACGGAATGCCCCTGAGAAAAAATGACGAAACAAAAAAAGGAGCAAACGCGAAAAAAAAAGGGCAGCACTGATGTGTTGACCGGCACACCCTTCCGGCCTCATGCTTCCAGTGAAGACGATTCCAATGCGAGGAGAGGAATCCAACTCGCTACTTGATATCCTATCACCTACCACAATTTAACGCTTGGATGCAACTCGATCTATGCGGCTGATATGTCAGTCCCAAGAGTGAGATTTGGATTGCGACCAGGAAAGAATGACGCAGCACTGGAAAAAAAATAGAGGGCAGACTAGGACATGGAGTACATTGCCTCGATGTGACATTGTAATACTGATTGATAACTTATAGCATGGAAGCAAAAAATGCACGACGACATCATAAGGTGGGTAATTTTACCCAAAGCCCTCCCGTCTTTTGCCTCATTTCACTGCATAGGTTCACGAGTCGTAGTGTTTGTTATTCTACAACATATACTCGGGCGAACCCTCGTTGAAAGTGGCACCGGTTCACAAGAGTGCTGTTCTTGTCGCTACGGTCGCTTCGGTCTACCTAGCTCCAAGCAGTACAAACACGTGTGCGACGTGCGACGTGCGACGGTGATGGTTCTCAGTGGCCTGTCCTGCTTCTCTGCTTTGTTAACGGAATGCAACATGGCTAGGATAACCCATATGCATTTAGCTCGACTTTGCGCTTTGTTTTCGTACCATGTTGTGATACATGTATTTGGATCGACATGATCGTTTGCGGAGATGCCGCGAAACCAGCACAAAGTCGCGAATATGTCGAACGTTTCCCTCGTTGGATTGGGAAACCCAACTTTTGTCCTCATTCCGGCTCATTTGATCGCCCATCCTTTGCCGCCAATCATTTGTCTCTCGGCTTCTTGCATGTCAGCCCATTATCTGGCAGACCTCGTGATTGAGCTCGCAAGACGCGACAGACGCACAGTTCTCAAGCACGACTCTCTGCCAGTCGATTGGTCAAGTGGCTGGCAATCAGCCACCGCCTCTATGCATAGCCGAGTCAACCGAACGTGAGGGGACCAGCTTGGCAGTGCTACCATTGTTTTTCGTTCCTGGCTCCAGGTCTGAGGTAACCACAAAATCCGCTTTGTTCTCCTGGTTGTCGTAAAGGCCCGGGATGGAGTATGCCAACTGACGCGTCCCTCGTGGCATCAAATTCGGTGTGTGATTTGTGGCTAAAAGCTGCTCCACCGTCACACCGAGGACCTTTTTTGCATTACTCATCCATCCATGCTCTATTGTGCACGGATGGTTTCGGCTACGCGCCAGACTGCTTTTCTGCGATCGGGCATTGCGAGTGTATGGCACGGCGCATACGTCAAACCCCCACGCTGTCTTCCAACAGCACTGTATAACTTTGCAGGCCCGCCACCCATGTGACTCTCCCAGTATACTTGCGATGTTGTCGAGGGCAACCCAGAGCACGCTTCTTGATCCAGGAACCAGGTCGTGGGGCCCTTGCCATGCCGTCCGGCCTTGTGCTCTGGACCGCTCGGACAGCAAATAGTCCAGTCGTCCTCTTGATCTCCGATGGTCAAAAGCAGCGAGGCAAAGCTTGCTATCGGGAACAATGGGACAGTCCATATCACGGCCTCAGCTTTGACCCTCGGAGGATGGGAACATGGTGTTGCATGCTGTGCAAGGAGGATAATGCAAGTGAAAACGGAAGATGACGAAGCCAGGGAAATTCGAGTCGTATTGTAGTAAGGCATCCATCCGCATCAGCATTATTTTGTTGAAGCAAAATGATATATCATAAGCTTGCAGCCGAAAAGTCGTCTTTCTGCGTCACCTCCCTGAGCCCTCCAGCATACATATCACGACCCCTACCGTGGCCTGGGTCGCTCTTATCCCAGAAGCGGAGAAGGATAGTCTCTGACCGAGGGAGACGTAGTGTCCAACTTGGCGGAAAGCTGCAGGAAGCTATCATATGAGAGAATTCGTATCATTGTTGATATGTGGTGGCCTGTGACAGTGACGTTGTGCTCTGGCTTGCGCTGCCGCATTGCCGTGAACGAGTCCTCAAGCCCTAGTCTGCTGCCAGGCCCGAAGCCAGGTATCCTTGAACCTCCCACATCCTATGCAATCGGGGAGTCGAGCCATTACTTTCCTGTTGACGCTGTTGCACTGAAGAGCGAGCGTCTATGTTGCCGATCGGCCGTCAATACCAAAAAGAATTGTCCTGCGATTGCCAAAGTCAGTACGCAAGACTCAAGTACGTCAAGAAAAGATGACCTTTCGGTATACTCAGATGCCAGTCTACTGTCTATACTGGCGGAGTTCTTTTGGTAGCCCTGACTGTACTTGATCAACCCCACAGTCACTACCTCATGACAGCTTGGCCTCACTCTGTAGTGATAATGACAGACCACATCATCGGTTTCAGCAGGCTCCGTCGGATTCGCCTGTAGAGCTGCGGGTTCTAGGGCGACTGTCTGACGAGATTAAATTGCCACTTATTTTCATCGCGAAGGCAGTCCACCAGACACCTGCATGACTTCGTCTCAGTTGCTTTCAAGATGCTTGCTATGAAACAGGACCGTTGCTAGCGTAGCTTTCCCATCAGCCCCCATTTGACGCTTGAAGGCTGGAAGTATTCAACTCCCGTTTGCAAGCTATATGGCGACGAAGACCTGGAAGTCTGTGCGGTAGTAGCTCACGAGTCCAACATGTATCGATTTTGTACCGGAGTATCATTCGAGAACACCTGAACCAGTCAAAGAATCTCGACCTTGCGTTTCGCGGCAGGCATACAATGACAAGACGAAGGCAAGAGCCTCTATCTGCGACCGCTCGGTCAATTCCGGCCAGCAAGCCACTCTCAGAATCCTTTTCGGCGTCGGTTCACCCTCTTGGGTTCTCGGCTTGCCTAGCCTCTCCACCCAAGTACTGGCACGACGGCATCGTGTTCAAATGGTTGTCACAGGCCATACTTTCTGGTGCTTCTGCACTGGCCTTGCTGGCGTACGCAAGAAAACTTCCGATGTCTTCCAATGTCTGATTGTAGCTTTCATCAGCTTATATGCAACAAACACGTACCTAGTATGTTAAAGTACAGATCGGATCACACGCAAGCATACGCGAGAACTCTACATCGTCCCGCGAATTGGTGCTGAGCAAACTGCTCATTCCTCGAGATACACGCCGCCGACACGAACAGATTGGACCGCATGCAAACCGCAACCGGACAATTGGAACTTCGGGGGTGCAGCGGCAACAACGGACGGCTGAAAGATAGAAGACGACGATTGACTTGTCGTACGCGCGGCCGAACCGTGAACGGTGAGGCTGCCTAACAGTAAAAAGCGTGCCCAAAAGAGTCAAGTACCTACGAAGGACCGTCAAGCACATGTTTTGCAGCTCTTTCCTCTTCATGGTCGACGCCCACTGGCCATCCGCACTATAGAGAAAAGCTCGGCGAAGCGCCGAAAGACGTGCCTGTAAGGAGGAATATTCAGCCTCCCAGTGATGGCCTAGCTCCAGGAGCTATGTATTCGCGGTCTGCGCCGCCGTCTGCGCAATATGCCCAATTCCGTTGCGCCATGGAAGGGAAGACGGCAAAATAATACGCATTGTACAAGTTTCTGAACCCTGTACAATGAACACTTGCTGGGGACTGAGCAAAGTCAGACCATCACATCCCTCCCACAATGTCCATTTCCATGTCGACGATGTATGGACAATTGAGAAGCCGGAGAACATTGATGGGACAGTCAAGTCAACCCTCGCATGTGTTTGGAGCGTGCTGGACGGTTGTTTCTGTGAGGCCTTCCCTTTGATTGATTCCGGGCGTTACTTGTGGAGTTGGTGAGTTACTCGACGTGAATTTCTTTTAGTCTACAAGTTCAAGCCAAGTGACAAAAATTCACGTGACGCCATATACCTTGCACACAATTCCAAGGCCAAACATTTTGGATCGACGATGCCAAAAAACTAAATCTAATGGACAAACGGGGAATCGAACCCCGGACCACTCCCATGATCCCGTCGGCCGTCGAACAGCTGCTAAGGGAGTATTATACCACTAAACCATTCGCCCATCGATGACTACCTGGACAAATTTTACTGAATATATAGCCTTGTTCTCGACCGGATGTAGGACTCGACCGGGCTTTTTACATATGTACGGTGTACCTACAAGCCCCATTGCTTCTGAAGCAAAGAAAAGCTTGTTTCCCGCCAGACAGGGGTTAGATATGTATGTGCGATATGTAGGTAATCTTTGTCGTCATAGCCGCTCCCCCCGCACGCAGCCACTTACTACCTGGTAGGAGGTATGTATGTACATACGCACATGTAGCTTGGCTGGCGCAACAACACGACAGAAGACATCCAGATCCGCTCCGACTGCATCACAATTCCTCTTGTGCTCCTTGTGTAGCTCGCAAGCACGTCTTCTTGACTCTTCACTGTCTTCACCATGGCCTCAGAAAGCAATGTAGGCGATATCCCAGCCCTTGCAATAGCTTCCCTCCGTCAATCTCCCAATGCTGAACCGAATCTTCTCTGCAGGATCCGAAGCTGCTCTACGCTGTCAAGGGGATTAAGGCCTATCACATTGCCCAAGGCAATGAACAACCACTCAACCCACTCGGGCCCGAGACCTTATCGTTGCTGATGGTGTCAACATCTGCTGGCTTTTCCGACCCCTCTGGCCCTGCATCGGGTCCGCAAGACTTCTACCTGCATCTACATTTGCCACCCGAGCTTGATCTGCCTCTCCCTGCCACGACACAGATCTACCATCAGCCCCCCACGAGCTACCTGATTCCTCGCTGGGATCTCGGGCCCGACAGTGGCACATTCACACGAATTGAATTCCCTGCCATTGGCTCTCGCGCTGGTATTCAAGAAGATGTCGATACTTTTGAGACCATTCTCGCGCAATGTACTGCTTTTCTGGAGCGCGCCACGGCCCCGGGGCCGTCAGGGAACAAGACATCATCCGTTCCGGCGTCTTCTGCCAAGGCAAAAGAATCTGCTGGTGATGAGCCACCGGCGTATGACCCTGCCAGCTTCGCGAAAGGTGAGGGTTATGCTCATGGCAGCGTGAGCTCAGCCTCTCAAGGAGGCCGCATTGTTCTGGTGGACGAGGAAGATGGCAGTGTCGTTGGGGAGCTAGGCGACGGATTCGGGGTGGTGGAGGACACGGCCATAAAGCCCGGATCCAAAGGTTCGTGTCATTCACTTAGCGTCCTTGACTGGCGTGCTCCTCTACGTCTTGCTAATCCAGTCGCGGGACAGATCCCGTCGAAATCGTACTGCCCACCGATGCGTCACAGGCCATCACAGTTCAGCCCGTATCGGGATACGGTGATGACGATGAGGACGACAGGGTGCACCCAGCCTACAAGAAGTCCACGATTGTCAATATGGGAATGCGAGCCTCTCGTCTTCTCATAACGACGTCGGATTATGTCGCGCAAACCCTCAGCAGCCAGGCTGAAAACTACGCCAAGAATACCCAGCCCAACACAAAGCCTGTCACATTCACGCCTACGACTCACGCACACATCCGCAGGATCAATCACTTTTCCACCAAGGCTACAGCTTTGTCCGCGACCACAGTCGGGTCCATCTCCAAGGTTGCGCAAAACTTTGGCGCCAACCTTTCCAAGCGAAAAGGTCGTGCGCGTGGCTTCGACAAGGACGGCAAGCCCATCGACACATACAAGCCAGGAATGCTAAACAAGAGCCTCATGGCGTTCAACACCGTCGTCGATGGTATGGAACAAGCCGGACGCAGCTTGCTCACCAGTACCTCATCTAGCGTCAGCCATGTCGTTGAACACAAATGGGGCCCTGAAGCCGGTGAGGTGTCTCGCAATCTCGGCGGTAGCGTCAAGAATGTTGGCCTCGTCTACATTGATGTGACGGGCGTTTCTCGACGCGCAGTCTTGAAGAGCGTGGCCAAGGGAATGGTGGTGGGAAATGTAAAGGGTGGCGGCAAGGTCATCGTCAGTGGCGGAGAAAAAACGGACAAAGCGGGATCCGGGGTGGCAGAAGGCAGTGGAAAAGCCTAGGAAGACGACTTATATGCAGGCATGAAGGGACGTCCGCTGGAGACGATGCATGTAGGTATGTACGGAGTACCCATAAACGGGTCGTTGGTCAAGAGCAGACTGAGGTCGTGTAATACCTCTGCGGGGTGGTGCATTGCAGGAGCTATGTGTAAAGAAAAGATTGTACATAAATACTCATCAGATTGCCGGAGTGCATGAGGGAATTTCATGCAGATCACGTGTCTGCGCGTTCGCCTTCGCGTTGGCGGACCACCTCAACTCCACACGCGTCTCCTCACGACTTCTCGACGTCACCTCACGTCACGTCATCTCCAATTCCCGCTGCTGGCCATCACGGCGGCTCCACCTCTCCATATCAAGCTCGCCATTGCAAATCAGAAGCATTTCGACTTCCAATCGACTCGTCACCCAAAATTCGGGCCCTGGGGCGCCATCAACCTCCCACTAAAATCGCAGCTGCGCGTCCATGTGTCGATTCGAGCTGCTCGGGGCCATCCTTCTTATTTCCCACGACATACAAGACGCAATTAAGCGACGGAAAGCGGCACGAAGCAACAAGAGATGCTCCAAGAAATCCTCCTGTCCCTCTCCGGCCATCCGTCGCCTCTCCTACGCCCGCCAAGCTCGCCCGAAGCAGACGCCCTCGCAGGAATCAGCCCGCCCGAACGGCAACTGCTCTCTTCCGCCGGCCACATAAGTCATCTACACACGAATCTCATCGCCTATTCTTCCGAGACGGCCACCTCTCATCCCAGTACGATCTGCAGAGCTGTCTGTACGGCCATCAACTCCGTTCACCTAGCTGCCTTTCAGCGCAAGGTGCTAGACGTGGAGGCGAGCGTGTTGAGGAACGATGCGGGCTTGGTGGGTGCCTACAGTATTGTGCCCCTGACGGCCGTCATGAGCGAGTTCCAACAATGGACTAGACGTTTGGAGTGGCTATGGGATACGGTGCGGTTTATCATGGCGAGGGACGGAGAGGGGCGGGCTTGCCGCGGCGCTGCACTGATCGATCGTTTGCGGGACGAGCTGCAGAGCGGATATCAGGACGTGGCGGCTACGGCGGAGAGTCTGGTCAAGGCAGCCGAGACGGCGTGGCTGAAGCAGGTTTCGGCATGGGTGCTATATGGGAGACTACCGAGCTTCGGGGCCGACGACTTCTTCGTACAGACGACGACGATACAAGGTGCCCCAAACGATCGTGATTATGCCTGCGTGGCAGAATGTCTGCCCTCTTTTGTCACGGGCGCGACGGCGTCGTCTATGCTCTTTATTGGAAAATCTCTTCACCACGTTCGGTCCATCCACATGAGCTCCACATCTACGGGGGTTGCCCATGTCGCCGCCAAACTGTCTGAGCTATCCACGTTGTCCCTGCCGCTTGAAAGCACTGACTTTTCCAAAGCAATCAAGGCTATCCGTACATCGTTATCTGAAACCACTCTGCAGAAGATGCTTCCACTGGCCAAGGTATCGGAAATGATGCACCTGCTCCGAGAATTCTTCCTCCTCGGACGGGGCGAGTTCGCCATGGCACTGACACACGAGGCGGATGAGAATATTCGCAATCGGTGGCGAAGGGCGGTAACCGGGACAGGGCATAATCACTCTCATCTGGCGCACGATAACGGTGATCAAACTGTCAAAAACGTGACGGTCAAGGATGGAGAAGTGGCTGCCGTGCTGAACCGGACGTGGGCGGTTCTCGTGTCCATGCAGGGCCAGCACGCGGAAGAAGACGACCAGCTAGACCTGGCCAGGAGCTTGATACAGCTCCATCTGACCAAGGCCAGGCCGCCGGCTGCTCTGGCCACGGGCAGAGGGCTCGATATGGAAGCGGCAAGCCATGTGGCCGCGTCACTGTTTCGGAACATGCTGTTTGGCGTGCCGGCCATGCTGAGCATCGACCTCCCCTCATCGCTCGACATGGTTATCTCGGCGTCGGACCTGCAGCTCTACTCGTCCATTAACTCCTATCTTCTATCGCTCCGCCGAGCACACATCCGTCTTACGGACCTATGGAAAATCACATCACTCCGCCGCCACTATCCTTCTCCACGCGGTACCTCGGATCACGCCGTCACGCTTCGCGAGCGCTGGTCCGACCGTGCCTGGCTCCTCCGCAGTTCGTGGACCACAGCCAGCGCGGCCATCTTCTTCCTCGGTGAGACAGAAGCCTACTTTCAGACGGAAATCGTCGCCGGTCTCTGGGACCACTTCCACACGTGGCTCCTCCCACCGCCATCTAAGGAATCCCAACACTCTGCCTCCGCTTCCCGCTCGCACTCTCAATCCCGCTCTCGCTCTCGCTCCCGATTTGCGCCCTTTTCTGATCCCATCACCCCAACCTTGAATAAACCAACGCTCGCTCGCTCCGTCTCATCATCGCACGACCCCGAAACGCTCTCCACAGCTCACACCCTCTACCTCCGCACCCTTACCCACCGCCTCCTCCTCACTCAGCCCTCTTTCACGCAACCCCTCTACGCCCTTCTCACCCACATCGACCACCTAGCAACCCACCTCCACCGCCTGCACTCCCTCTTCACATCCTCGGACCTCCACCACGACGCCGGCGTCCTCGACACAACCAGCTCCTCTGACCGAGACCGCGAGCAAGGCCAGCTTCTTGAGTCCCTCCACACACTGCACCATAAAGTCAAGAACGGGATTCAGGATGCCGTCCATGCACTCCGGGCGCTGGAATCAGATCCTTCCTTTTTGGCTGAATGGGATGGACAGGCGCTTGTGGAGCCGGAGGAGGGGGAGGGGGAGGAGCATATGGGGTATGTTCCTGGGAGGGTAGGGGGTGTGGATCGATTGTTGATGAAGTTGGATTTTGGGAGTTGGATTACTGGGTAGCTGGAGGTGTGACGATATCAGGTCTTTTCTCTTTCTGATTCCTTTCCCTGCTTTCGTTGTCCTAGGTCCAAGGCGCTGTTGTATTGTGCTGTGAAATCTATGCACAATACAGATGGCTATTGCTGTATGGTTTGGCCATAGAGGCGTTTACGAG